CCAGAACTGCCGAAGAACGTGATGCCGGCCTCAGCTGTCACCCTCCTGGAGAAGGAAGCCCATTTTCAAGTTGCAATACTTAATGGGAAATTAGCGGTACGTCCCATCATTTTACTTACTTAAAAAATGTTTTTGAAATTTATACAATATTTGGAAGTTGATACTTTGTACGTAAATGCATCGCCATGATCACGCAGCCCTGTTCTCTCTGTTTATAAAAAAATTGATTTCTTTCTTAACAATGTAACATTTTTACACAGCAAACATGAACCTTAGCTAGACTCTTTACCTACAAATGCCATTTTAACATACGTTGGTTTACTTAAGAATACTTTTCAAAGCAAATTATGCATAGCGATGTCAAGCACAAGATAGGCCGATTTCAGATTAACGCGTACAGTTATATTCCATTTCAGAATGTCTCTTACCATGGAGACTTCGTAGATGATCGTACAAACTACAGTCGGATGACTGTGTACGGCATAAAGGGTGAGTTGGTTCTGGATGATTTCGCAAGTTGAGCTAATTATCGATATTGAACGATTTTTGCCGAACTTAAATTTGAACTGCCTTATCGTATATGTAAGTGGCTAACGTGATTTATCTTTCTATATCTAAGTGTAATTAAAATCATTCAGCGGGCGAGAAGGACGCTGTGCTATATACCGGGCGTGTTGGAACAGAAGTGCGAAACATGGTGGTACATTTCAAGAACGGATAGAAGTACGATATGACGATAACACTCAAAGATGACCTTGGTACATCCATGGCAATCTACACATACATTGACTTCAAAAATGCTTTCAAGCTGAAGTAGGAGCGGCCCTGATTTTTTCTGTTCAGGTGCTGGTGTGAACTGGTGTTGTGATAATTAAATCACAAATTATGGTTATGGGAATTTTGCAATTTTCTGTTTGGCTAATAAACAGATTTTAACTTAACTGTCTAGGCATTGTTTTGTGTTTAACCCCATGTTTACAGTCATCACTCTCAAAACTGAAAATGGGTAACTAGCCGATTGGGGTTATCATCCAATTAGGCCGTACATTTACAGGCTTCCTGGTATCAGAGGCTAACATTTTAAGCAGCGGATGTAAGAATATTAGAGTTAATTGATATTGTCACCACACTCGTAAACGCTGGCAAGGCGCTAAGATATTTGCCACGGTTTGCCATGCTTTGCGCCTTTCTGTGGCTGTTGGATCGCTAACTTGGTCCAGGATGTTGGTGTCCTGCAATGCGTCTGTGTGTCCTAGGGGCTGCACACTGTTCTCCTATAAGCAAGAACTTATTCATTCTTCTCCCTGGTTTTTACCGGTCTGCATTCACTGATCTCGCCAGTGTGTTCCACCTCCCCACATTGGTTACGATAGACGACATCTGCCGTTTTGCCGTGTGACAGAGGAGTTTCGAGCTTCATAAACACATCTCTTTTTGCTGCTTTAGGTCTGTAGGCCAGGCCGATCTCAGTTAGTGAAATATACCGTACCGATACACTACATTGCAGAACACAATCTCAGCCGTTCTTTGAACATAAACGGTGGTGATGAACTTCCACAAAAGGTAATGAATTTCGACTGCCACCTGCGTCCTTGTGGTGCCTTTCCAACCGTTTGTGAGTAATTTATGCCTATCTGTAAAGAAGTTCCACGCAGCGGTGTTTTTGGAATAGCCCGTGGTTACATTGTTAGCAAAGGTGACCTATAGTTAACTGCTAGTCTGGCGCTGAACCAAGACATCTACTTAGGCAGGTTGACAGTTGACCTCAGCCTCGATTGTGGACTTGGTGTCAGGGAAAAATGAGCGCTTGAAGAAGACGAAGGTGTAGTGTCCATTCCGCGCACAAGATTATGGTCTATGGTTCATTAAAAACCAGAGTCTTTAACTATTTAAAGGAAAGCATATAGCGTTGAACCATCGGTGACCTCAAAGGTGAAATATGTGGTGGAACAGTATTTAATCAGCCGGCTTAGGTTCGAATGTTTCGATTTCATCGTCCCCGCGTCACACCACCTCTCAAGTAGATCAGCGAGGGTTCCTATGAGAAACTGGGGTCAAGAGTCAGGTAACACCAAACGATATAATGTGATTTGTATGCCCATAGAAATAACTAAGAGGAAAGGGTACTTTGGGGGGAGGGTGGGCGTTTGATTGGTCATACTGCATGGAGGAGGGTCGAAGGGCCGGTGGTCATTTAAGTAACATACAGTAGCCGCCGAAGACCATGCAACGCTAATTATGAAATTTG